TTAATGGATAAAGATGCTTGTTAGTTTTGGGACACTAGATAAAAATCTGTAACAGACCTAAAGTCCCAAAGTAAACTACTCAACTCCTTGTTTGCCCGGAACTGATGTTCCGGACACCACAATCTATAGAACAAGCTGCAAATGTCTGCTGACCCTCAATACGTGACAGTCGACCATTAACCTTTGTCCCCTTCTCTTTAATTCTATATGTTAACTTCCCCCTCAACCCCCTATAAAAACAGCCTTGGACTGTGAGCCAGTTGCCTCTCTAAGCTATTTTGCTTTGGGAGTGCCATCTGGCCAGACTAATAAAGGTCTGTTTTACTTTCCAACTTGTCCGGTGTGTTCCTTCCCAGGTGTTCTTCGCTGCAGTCAGCTCCTCGGAGCGTTTGGTAAGGCCAACGGCCTTACAGGAGGAGGGAGAGGGAAGGGGAAATAAAAAGAATTAAGATGTGTTATGTGCATGTACCAATGCCCCCTGATGAATGTGATCACTGTATACTGCAAGCGTGGAATAATAAAAATAAGATTAAAGGGGTTTAGGATTTAGCTCAGTGGTTCTGCCACCTGTCTCGCAACCAAAAGGTCCCTAGTTTGATCCCCAGTACCAAAAAAAAAGGGGCAGGGGGGAATAAGATTAAAAACGTAAAAACAAGTAAAACACTACTCATGATGTAGGGAATAGATTCTTTGAGCTAAAGAAAAATCCATACCATCTAAATTTAATAAATAGACCAACTCTCAATTGGATTTTGGCCACTGGGTTTCATTTTAATCATTATTAGGGAAATAATGGATTTTGATGACAAGCTCATATATATTAAATATTTAATAGCCAAGCTTTGAGAAATTTGAAAATGAACTGTGGTAGGTATGAAAAGAAATTAATACCACTTGATGAGAATGTTCCTGAATATAAATATTTTGTCATATCTACAGTTTTAAAAATCATTATCAAAAGAAGTATTTTCTTAAAAATAAGGATTAGCAGAACCATATAATAACCAGCTAGCTGTATGAATTGCACATAATTATACTACAAATTAAAGTCATAGCTATCAAAGATAGAAAGTTACATGGATCTTCTTCACTGAGTTTATTGCAGCTCCAAAGAGCTGTGAAATAATGGATTAAGTGGAGGATAAAGCTATGTAAGGTTCTAAACCATGCTGGTGGGGGCTATTGTTCTATTTCCTTCTCATAAATGGTTTAAAAATAGGTTTTCTGGCCAAATCAGAGTTGCACGAGCATTTTTGGAAGGTCCACATATACCTCACTGGTGGTGATGCTAAATAGGTTTCAGGCTCCCTCCAGAGCAGAGGATACACAAAGAAGAACTAAGTCATAGTTCCTTTTGACATTGAGTGGTATGGCTACAGAACAAACCACCCCAAAGTTAAGTGTCACACAGTGACAAGTATTCATGGTCACACTCCAGGTCCCCAGGGCTGGCAGCTGATAGCACTACTCCCAGCTGCAGGGCTTCTGATCAGTTCCAAATCCACCCCACCCCCTTCCTCCTGCTTGAGCTGAGGCAGAGGCCAAGAGCCCTCCCAGGCTTTGTGTGAGTCACAAGTGCTCACATCCTGTTGGCCAGAACAAATAACAGGGTCATAGCCAAGTCAAGAGCCACAGAAGAGGCGGGCTCACCCTGAGGGCATGATGAGGATGTGAGGTGAAGACAGGGACCAGGAAGACTGACTTACCACACAGAGTGATCACCCTGGAGACAAACATACTCCAGAAATACAACAAAGTGAACAGTG